TTTAGGTTAGGTTAAATCCAAGTGTTGAACGAAATGGAAAACAAAACACTGCAACAGCTGATCGCAACTTTCTGTACTATAAAGAGTGCCCACTTTGTCAGGTGACTGTAGGAAAAGGAAACTTTGTCTTGCAGTAGTGAGTGATTGGGAATATTTTTAGCACAATTTATGTACAAAGTACCGTATTTTTCAGTGTAGGCCTACTCTGTATCCTGTATGTATGATAGCTGGGTAGATGAGTGGTAAAATATACATACGATTCACAAGGTCACTGGTTCAATCACCAGAAAAGAAAAAAGATTGTTTAATGATTCGAAACTGGACCCAACCATCCTAGATTATTGGGCTTTTGAGTTATCCTAAAGAACGAGCTGATCTTAGTACTGTAAGTACAGTATCAAAAATATGTCTTCTCACGGGATTCTAATTCATTAAACACCCATCCTTCACTCGTTTTCGCTAAAATATGCGTAGTGTGTAGGTGTGGTAAACATGTGCTCACTATCCTCCACTACACGTGGTTAATCATCATTTATGTGCCTGGTATCATTGACTAGGAAGCACCAGACACCTGATACTGTTTGCTACTGTGCTCAGGCTCAGGCGTCCAAATAGCCCCAATATTACTCGTGCTAGCGATATGCATAACTTGATATTACAGCTTCTATTGTTTCATCTCCAATCTTCAGAGTAACGTAGGTAGCTCGATACTTTGTTACTAAATCAAATGAATTACTTTAATAGTTAAACCATTGACTAAGGAAACAAAAGCTGTGGTTAAACTTATGAATGTGGATGAAGCTAAAACTAAATTTACTTAAGTTAAAAGTCTTGTTAGTTGTACCAATTTAAGTAAGGCCTAAATAGCTTATTCGACTACAAACGTATCAAATAAGATGATAATAGCCAGTTTTTGAAGTTGTAATTTCATTTTAACTTTACCTGTTGAATATTTTTCTTATTAATGTCTTTTGTTATAATAGAAATCTGTACATTCTTTGTTAAATAATTGTTTAGTATGTACAAAGTAAAAATACACAACTGTACAACACACATAATTAAGAGGTAAATTTTAAATTCGCTGCAAATGTGTGTTTACAACATTTCCTTTGATTGCTAGTAATTTGATGCAATTTGAACGCTTTTTGTTAACAAAAAGCGATCGTTTACTAAATGGGTCAACTCTATTAGGTTGGCCGGGTAACGTATGTAGGACAGGAGATTCAACTGTAGAGATAGGAAAAACTTGATACAGCAGAACTTCCAGCTTATCTTTATACCCATATTGTTTGTAAAGGTGCAGTGTTTGTTCAGTACAGACTCGAACGTCTCTTTTCACTGACAGCTGCTTTGTAAGCTGAATAATGGACGTTCATCCATTCATACTTTTATACCGTTTACTCAGAGAAATCGCGAGCCGTTTTTCATACGCGATGTTTTGTCAACGTCAATCACATGAAGTTGTCAGTTGTCAGTCTATCGATTCACTGATATTGATAAAGCATTTGCGTCTGATGATTTTTCTAAGAGGATTGTTTGATGTTTAGTATCGCAAAACAGTTTCTAATATTATAGAATTTGTATTGCATATAAGTTTATCTTGAGAATTTCAAGTTGTTACTATTTTAATTTTGAACTAATACCTTATTTCTGCTAACGAGGAAATAGTTATACAGTAGATACAATCATTGTAGCGTTATTGTTGACGTTTCGTTATTATATAGCAACTGTTTTAATATTTTAGCATATATTTTTACTTTGTTTAGGAATTTATTTTACTGATATAGGTCTAGCAACATACCATGCATAGGTGGAAAAAATTCTGCCCTCACTATTACACCGTTTTCAGTAGTTTTAATCATGTGAAATTTTGATAACGTTTTATACGCCCATGTTGTGGATTCCGTTATAAATTTATGTTATCCCTTAGGAAGATCATGTGACAGTGAGTCAGTACTGTCAAAGAGCTTCTAAGTTAAAAGAAAAGCAATGGCGATGGGGAAAACTTTACAATGTCAGAATATATGAAGACCTTTGTCAATAAACAAAGCCAGCCCTTTAAAAATATTCTTCTTCTTATGTTTTAAATAGGTTATAGACTGCGCACTATCAAAATTAAACTGTCAAACTTTGTTCCTGACACAATATTAAACAATTTCCATATAAATACATAAAAAAAAAACTTATTGGTATATTATATTGCACTTCACGTAACTTACTACTTGGCCCAATGAAGATTTGAGAGGTTTGTAGCCACAGTATAACAATGGTATAACCATAGATGAAGCTATGGTATAACCACTAGTACATTTTACAGTATTTCGAAGTGGGAACCTATTGTGTTCTATTTTCAAACCTGGAATACAATTGATGAATATTTGATACTCTTGTCCCACCTTACATCACATGATGTGAGCTACAGCTAGTGACGTACTCTGTAGGTGGACGGGTCGATCCTGACCAGATGAATTATAAATACACACTCACTTGGAGTGTTTGAGCTGCACGGGTATCATGTAAATGAGAAGCGGAGTTTTATTTTTCAATTTTCTGACAAACTCCACTGCTGTATGGTCGAAGTTTAGAACCGTAACTAATGAAAAATGTATTTGTCCATCATTCGATTTGTGTATCAAACAAATCTATGTTTGGCGATTTATAAGTAGTCATGCGAGTTACTGTTGTCTATTATTGGGTTTGAAGGATAAATCTATTGTATGTTATGAAATGTGCTTTAAAGTTCAATCTTTGCTTAAAATAATTTCAAATATGTACCTATCGTGAACTTCTGATGGGATGAATAGTATTTACAGGTTGGTCTCGATTTTCTCTTGATCTTAGCCAACAACGACGCAACACTGTTTAGTGGTTTAGTCAACCCATTTTAAAATCTCCTACATTTTTTACTCAACTTAAAATACGCACAAAAGTTCGTCAATGTCTTTCTTAAATTATAATTATCGTCAGATCGTCAAAACCCTCATATCTCTTTACGACATGCATCTTCAATTACCATACGCAACTGTAACTCGTTTTAGGGTAACATTAGACTTTTTATCGCCTTCAACCAAAACCTCGACTGTAAAAAATCGTTTTGTGAATTAAATAATTGAAATGTAAAACTATATTTCTCTTGTACGTAGGTTTTAGGTAGTGTACACTAAAAGTAGCACAGTCAATCGTGTGGCAGTCCTTACGCTCTGTTTATTTAAAAATGAAATTAACAAGAAAATCGTGCATCACAACTAGAGGAATACATTGTAAGAGAAATCTCCACACGCCGAGCCTCAGGCACATCTAGGCAGGCAGCTGCGTTGGTTCTACAACCTCCCCCGATCATCGTTTAAATGCCTCCTCCAACACAGCTGTTGGGTATTTAATATTTAAAGGTTCTCAGCTGTTAGTGCCGCTCCCCCTCCTACACCATGTTGTGTTGTGGCTTTGTTTGATTGTACGCGCAGCTGAGTTTTAATTTTCTTATCCTCAATCGCAGAGGATGTTCAATCTTATGCACAAATATTTTATTTCGGCTATTTGCAATGTGTAAGATTGGCATTGTGCGTGCTATTTTTCAATTTTTTAATGTTTCTTCCTCTTTACTAATAACTAACGTAAAAGAAAGTTTAAACGGATGAAAAACCTACACGATGGTACCCTGTTTCTTTCTGTTTTCTTAACTATAGATGCATACGTTAACATATATACAGCAACAGATAAATGTAAGAAGATTATTGTTTGATAATCATCTCAGTTAACAAAACTAAAAGGATATAAACTGTAGGTCCCTTGTTAGTTGTCATTAGCTGCATGGGCTATTAATTAACAGCTGTTTCTAAGGATATCTCGGCCTTAGTCACTGACAAGACTACAAGATCACGCCACTCATCCTAATCTCCATTCATACTTGGCTTAAAATACCTACTTTGTATGGTCGCCATTTCATTGAAAAGTATTAAGTAATGTATTAAGTATAAGATTTTTATAATTTAAATCGTTGAAAAATAGACTTTTTTAATAAAGCCTCAACAAGAAGGAAAAATACCTTAAAATCCTTAAATGCATGGATAGTTCCCACCTTGCTATCCATGCATAGGTAGGTAGGTGCTGATATTCCGTAGTGAACGTTTAACATCAGCACCTATTTAACAGCGTATTATAACGTGAAATATACCAACATACCACACAATTTACTGTAGTAAAATGATAAACTCATAAAAATTAATTATTCTCGAGCTAGAAGTCCTGATTTGTTTAAAGCCTTCAATAAGTTTGCACGCAATTCTCGACTACAGTGTCGGCAGTGTTGCATCTCAACAACGCAGGCAATCAACGCAGTTCCTGATACCTTTGTGGAACGTATTTATCAAAGTATTTCTTTATGCTAGTCTCAGTATCGAACGAGAAGATATTGACTTATTACGTTATTTGTTGACGTTATTTGTTGTAAAATAAAAGATGCTAATGTTTTCCTTGGTTAAAAAGTTTATGTATCATCATTTTTATGTTTAGGTATCCTTCATAGGTACTATGTCGTTAGTTCAAATCAAATACAGTACAGTATCTTTATTTTTATTTATGCATACAACTTTTAGTACAGGAACGGGATGTCTAGCTCTACTCATAGTCAAAGGTTGTTGGTTTTGACATGATGTTGAATTAAGTTTTGTTCTGATTACTCATATTATTGCGTGACAGTTGATGTAAATTACACAGTTGTTGACGACATATTATTTTACAGTTGTTGACAGTTTACAGAAGTTGATGAGGTAGAGTGTGTAATTTAATGAAATACAGTGTAGTTTGAAAGATGATGACGTTTAGTTTAACAGCTGATTGATGACAATGACTTATTATTTGACCGTTTTTGACAGAGTTTGAGGTGGTAAGGTTGATGATTGAGTTAATGAAGTAGTTTGACTGATTGTGTATAGTTTGACCGTTGTTGAGGGAGTTTAACAGTTGATGACACAGAGTTTTGACAGTTGATTTTTTTGTTGCAGGACAAAGACTCCAAGAGTAGAGAGGTGGAGGTGGACATAGATGAGTTGTTGGACATGGACGATGACGACCAGAGGCGGCGACATCTGTTGGTGAGTTTTTCTTAATACAAACTTATAAAAAAACTTTTAAAATCATTCGGGTGAAATTAAAATGGCTTACAGTCAAAAATAAAAGATAAATCACAATGGGTTTTCTCCTAAAAACTTGTGATGGGATGTCTTAGATTTCAACCCAGCAAAACAAGCAGCTTTGCTCCCTGACAACATAAGAAGTAGGCTGGATTGAAGAATTTGGGTTGTAACATGTATAATTACCACTCTGATGACCTTATAATGCTAGGTGTACCAGCTTTCAGATATAGAATAAAAAGTTTTAAATGATTTTTCCGAAAAGACAGTGTTTATTTACAAGTTTTGGTTTCAAAATATTTGTTAATTTAAGAATGGAGTTGAAGAGACAACTTGGATGTCCCACACTCCACAAGAGTGGGAGTTAAGTATAGAAATGCCGAGACTGAAGTCTATTTACAACCAAGAGACACTGAAACATGTGTGAATATATATCTGTCCCTGAATCTGGAAGGAACCAGATTCCTAATCATCTTTTAGCGCCAAGAAATTTGGGAGTAGTTAGGCAGATTTCAAGACTGTTACTATTATACAAATATGTTTTTAACGACTATTTTATTTTAAATTGTTAATTACCGGTTGTTGAAAGTATAAGCAATTCAAGTATTTTTTTCATCTTGGTGTTTCGATAAGGTAGATATCATAATGTCTACTAAATAAACCCCAGAGTAAAAATTGTTTTGTAAAAATTAGTTTATGGATTTTCATACATGGATTTAGTTTTATGTTACAACATTTTAACGTCATCTATAACTTGTCCAGCAACTAAGGAAATTACTTGCAATGTAACTTCAAAGTCTAATCATTATGTTGAAAGACATCTTTAAATCAAATTAAAGGTTATTAAGATAAATAAGTCTTTATTTACTATCTATTATCAGGAAATCATAGATTTTTAAATTCTGTTTCAGACGCTGCTGGTGGATGCCAAGAAGTCTGCTCATGATGTTAGGGTAAGGAACTTTTTACAACCATACTTATTGTAACACAATGTATAGTTAATACCTGGCTGTAAGCTACTCTCAGAGATATGGCTGGTCCAGGAAGTAGGAAGTAGTGGCGTAGCCAAGTGTTTTGGTACCTCTAGAGCAGTGCTGACTGCTAACTGGCGAAGAGGATAGCTCTCCTCCACGGTTAAAGAAAAGAGTGACACTGGGGGTTCTCTCTGAGAAAAGTTTGGAAGTCAATATGCCAAAAATGTCATTGAAATTCGGATTTAAAGGTTTCTACTGTATTAGAGGTGTGCAAACCCTTGATTTAGCACTTTCACAGTATTTAGTATGATAAATTGTCTTTCTACACTCTACAGTACAGTAAATTGATACAGTTGTGTCATTAAAACGTTCACTTTTGCATACTTTCATCATTGCTTGAGTACAGTACATGTCGTGAGAAAAAATTGCATAACTAAGCATATGTAAATGGAGCTGAGATTTTCAACCTTATATCAATAATACTTTTATTTATACTGTATTTTACAAAACATAATTCCATTGTTCCCATTTTAACAGACCTTTTAGGTTATCCAACCCATGGCTGGTCCCATTGTGAGTCAATTAAAAGAGGATGTATCTATTGTCCCTTTTTTTTTTTAATTACTAAAAAGAAATCAAAATGTATAATATAATATATTTAGTTGTAATAAAATCGTACATGTATACTGTGAATTCTGTGTGACAAATAAACATTTAATTTCACCGTAGAAGTTGCTGTTTGTCGCTGGAATCACATTTTCCAATAAACTCTATCTCGTATATAAGCGATATTGTTCAGTCGTTATAAGTGATGTTGTTATGTTGCAGAAATTCGTAGACGACCTGCTAGAGCGGACCAAGACGCTGTAATGTGTTCGTATCGATGGACGAACTCCGAACTCCGACTGCCTCAGGCCTAACCTGTTCACCTCAACTGTGGGTTGGGGTGTCACCAACGAGAGTTTAGCTACAACTGAACTGTCCACATTTGTGTTTATACATCTAGAATCTTGCCTGTCTTAATCGAGGCGATTTTTATAGGATTTTTAAGCAGATAACATAAAAGTGATAAACGTAGGTAACTTGTCTTATATTGACCGTAATTGTGGATAGACTCCTAACCCTTTGCATTTATCGGATCACATCTAGTATTAGATACAAAGTGATTCCATTAACGGTTAGACTTTTTAATGTTTTACAATACATTTTTACCGAATGGTATGGACTTTTGGATCTGTGTTTTTTATTAGTTTGAGCAGTTTTATTTTCTTTATTGCGATAGATCAAATCGTATGCAGTATTGTGTTAATGATTGAAAATTAAAAAATATTAAAATCAACCAAGAGAACTACTTGAGTTCCTTATTTTGTTCAACAAGGCCTACTTTTGTACAGAATTAAAGGCCTACATATTTTTTAATAAACTGTCAATTTATTATAATGAATATTCATTCTGATTGTTGGCTTATAGCTGTAGTTTCCTTTTATTATATTAGTAGACTTTTGTATACGTTTTATAAGGAATTATTCAATTTTAGAAGGTATTAACTGTTAAGTAAAAATTTAGTTTTGAAACTGTGTACAATATAAAAAACTTAAGGTATTAATTTATTTTCTTATTTTTTTTTTCTTTATTTAGTAGTTTTGATTTTAGGAAGGAATGTTACAATATGATTATTGTGATTCAATACTATCTTGCCAATAGCTGCTCCTATTCTACACTTTTGGATATTATGTTTGAGTGTTTGGGCTGATTTTATGGATTTATTGATCTTTTGTCAAAGCTTCCACTAGGATTATAAATAGTTACGTATGCATTTTATGTTCGAATATCATAATTGCAAAAATTAGAATAAACTTAATTCAAACACCTTATGAAACCGTAAATTATACTATAGACAAAAATAATTAAATATAGACCCTCAGCTGTGCTGCGGTTACCATAGGTTCTGGCGCACACCGCTGTAGTTACGGCATTAGTGCTACGTAACTACACGGCACTCCCAGCGGTGTGCGCCAGAACCTATGGTAACCGCAGCACAGCTGACACTCTATATTTAATTCTTTTTGTCTATGATTATACTTATAACCAAGATACTCTTGTGAATTGTTACTGAGATTTGCACCATTAACAAAAAAGAATGTTGCAAATCGAAGTGGTTTATCAACTTGCATTTATTGACAAGGGACTCCATCAAAGGCCATTCGTAACAAAAATTGGAATAGTCCCAACTGTGGCCTTTTCATCAACAATAACAACTTGGTACAACGATCTCTTAGATTTATTTCAGATTTTCTTGCCTAGGACCAGCTGAAAAGAACAAATGTGTCTGACATCCAAACTGTTGTGATCAAGTGAATTTTTCATGTTTCATTTTTTTTTTGCTCATTATGTTTAAGCATTCATTTTAAAGGTAGTAACTGAAACTTGCCATCTAAAACTAAACCAATAGCAATATATTTTGTTATGACAGTGCAAACCTGGGCCATCTGCAATGCTACCACATAGTTTATATCTGTTCCCAGCAGAACCTGTGTTTTGTAATATCAGTCTTGAAATTTTTAAAAGTAATTAAAGAAACTAACTGCTTCTGTCCATGTTATATGTATTTCAGAATGAAAGATACCCATTGCCTTCATGATCTCACTACCTGCACAAACCTCATCCTATCAATGTTTATTGTATGTAGCTTATTATGTGTATGTATGATGTAAGTTAGACATTTCTATATTTTCATTGAATGGTAATAGTGTATGGAATTGTAATTTAATCTGATTTCATTAAAGTGTACACTTAGGTAAATGGCTTGTTTAATCTACACCTATTTTTTTCAACAACTGTATCAGATGCTGGTAAAAAAAGATAGTACTTCCAAACCTGCAATATATTTTGAAATTATGTGCTCAAAAGTTTCCAGATTTGATTTTGGCACTAAAGTTTTTTACAACAGTAGTGTACTAACACATTAACATTCATTGTTTTTTATGATCACAAGACTCAGAAGCTGGGAGATAACATGTAATTAAGTTACATTGTGTTATTCCTAACTTCGTTGCATACGATTTTTAAAATCTGCCGAAGAATGGCTTTCTGAACTAAGCAAAGTCTGTAATACGAGGGGTTTTTAATTAATGATGGTTTACCATGGCAATACCTTAAATCAACATTCAGAATTATAATACAGTATTTACACTTGATTTGAATATGTAGAATAGGTACAGTTTGCGTGTATACGAATTATTTAAAATATACGCAAGTCCTTGGATTTTAACAATTAAATTACATCAGAAGAACACCTAACAATTATACATACCTATGTTTGATGTGTGAAGTGTATGCTGGATATGCAAATACATGTACATTTTCATAAGATCTGGTTTATGTTACCTGATCCAAAATAAACCGAAACCATCAAAGTGAATAAACACCGTCACCATATTCTGTTGATTTTACAGAAGATGCCTCAGCGTAAAAATAAGAAGACAGGGCTAAATGGGTATTTTTCTTTACTACCGAGGAGGGAAATCGTCCCTTCAAGATCCATTACTGAAATTCAAATACCCTAGCATTTGGCTAGTACCGTAAATAAGTAGAACCATTGATTAAACAGTTATTTGGTTAATAACCTAATTACCTCCTCTTCCTCTTTGACCAGCCTGGGCCGGATAGACAACGTCAAACATTTAAAAAAATCAAACTCCTTCAATAAACAAACATTTTAGTTTTGATAAGACGGTGTGAAGAGTTTGTGCCTGGAACATTACTCTGCTTAATCGGCTTAATCTCACGCAGACAGAATTGAAATGAGGGCCCCACTGTAACTTAAGAGTCCAAGAGTTGATAGGGATGTCAGGAGACGGAGGCGATCTGTTCAGGTTGTGCATATGAGCCTTTAAGTGTGTTTTGTCCCTGTTGAGCTTCAAGTTATTTATGAGGAACCAGTCCATAGCCTAGTCCTAGGAAGAGATGTTCAGAACAGGCGACCACGAACATAGGATCTACTCCCGGTCCAGGAGGGTTAGCATAATCTGCAAATAGTAGTGTGTATCTCCCAGCCTAAGTCGTTCATACAAAAGTGTCAGGAATAGATAGGGGCCAAGTGTTGAGCCCTGTGGACCTCCGAACTACACCACTGGGGAAACAGTGCGCAATACACTTGGCACAATCTGACTTCTCCATGCAGGTAGGATTTGAGTGAACCACTCCTCTACTCTACTAATCCACCAGAGCTCCGGTAGAACATGATGGTGTTTGGTGTTAAAAAATAGCTATTGTTAGTGAAATAAGCATAATTTGAAAAAGGGATATAACGTGTAATACAAGAAGCAAGTTTAATCTACGGTGGGTAATATCATAGACTAACCAACTAAGGAAGTATGTTTTATCTATGGTAATATTCAATATAGATTTTACCTTTAAAAAAATATATAGGGAGAGTGGAGTTGGAGTTTAAGTAGAGTATTTTTGTTGAATGGATCTAAATATCAGACTTACACTACGCCTGCCTATGTCCTATGTCCTATGTGTATTTTTGTGACTATCAAAATTGTACATACTGTTATTGTATGTACAATCATTAACTATATAACACTAGTGTTATAGATTATATAGACTAGTGCTATATAGTCAATGGTACAATGCACATTTTCTAGATGATAAACCAATTCAATTCACTTCATAAGAATATGCGAAATAAAGTTTGTCAAGTCTGAGAATGTTAACGTGGCTTTTACAAGCACTTTTTTGCAATTTTTGTATGGATATGAAAATTAGTTTTCCATTTTAATATATTAATATTACAATTGAGATGGGGCCGCCACCTTATGTGCATATTTTATCCAAATGAGTGAAGAATGAGTGTAGAATGTTTTAATGATATGTGTAGCTTTGTTACTAAGACCAAAACCAGCTCTTTTATTAGTCAGGACCATTTTATTGAAAGCCCAATGATCAAGGACAGCTGGTTCCAGTCTGCAACTATCAATAAGCTACAAACTTTTCTCAGAATCTCAGCACTATAAATCAAATATGTCTAAGTAACATAGACTATAAATACCATAATCAATGCCTCAAGAAGATCTGGAAGCCACAAGAAACTCATATGTAAAAGTTTCATGGAGAAAAAATACTTCACTATGACTAATGTGGCAATGCGAGCGTTTCAGGGCAGGAATTGGACTAGCCTACTGCGCATGCGCCAGAAAGAACCAATTCAGTTGTACTTGGTCTTCAACGAGTCGACTCATGAGTCATAACTTACTAGTTTAGTTCAGTTTCAGTTCTGCTTTTTGCTGTTAGCTATGGTTAGCTACCTCCGTGACGATTGACGACTTGAGTCAGTCATCTCTGTCACCCCCATCATCCATTGCATTTATGTACTTTAATACTGACTATGGGAATGGACTAAAAATTGAGTTTTCCCATTTTTTACCCTAAAACATAGTTTTTTATTTTATTTTTCAAGTTATTTTGTGGTACTTGACAAAATTAATAATTTAAACTCAATATGTTCAAAATATACCATGAATATTCCAGAGTACTTTTCCAGAATATTCTGAGAATGTTCTCAAGATTTCTAGGCTATATAAAAATTTTCTTAGAATATTTTTGTTGAGTAATATGATCTGAGTATATTCAAGGAAATTGCCTGGGATGTTGAGAATGATCAAAAACATTTTGGAAAATTCCAGGAAATCCTATTATTTTTCATGTTGTATTAAACGTTATACTAGTGATGCGATAATCGAGTGAAAAAAAGAATCGATTCTTTCGATTCAATTATTTTAAGAATCAATGAAATAATCGTTTGCGTGAATCGATTCTTATTTGTTAGCTTCCTGCACTTAATTCCATTTCTCTGCAGGTCGATGCATGCCTATGATATTTATCACTACTGAGTGAAAATTTAAAAACGTACGTTTTCATGTCCCTGGCCTTTTACTTCGTAGATAAATTGATTTGTAGTTTATTATTGTGTGTTTTAATATTTTTTGGGACGGGGGCAACATGTTACACACATTTATTTGGTTTTAAATAGGTTCTAGGTATTTTTTTCGTATTTTTAAAGTCTCGAAATTCACGACCATGACGTGTCCCTAGGGTACATTTTCCAACTTTCACGCTGTTTTTAAACAAATTATTCATGCCGAAATATGTAAAGCCATATTTTTATGTCATCAATGGTTATTAAACTTACAAAAAAGGAGCATATTATAATTTTATTGTCATTACAAACTGACTACCATGACAAAATAAGTCTGTCCCTAGATTTGGCGTCACGACCATTTGGGAAAAATTTTCAACTTTGGAGCACGACAGTGGCAAGCCTGGCGTCGATGGAGTCAGTTGGTTTTAGAGACTAGTTCGGGGTGTACGTCAGGATTGTAGTGCCGGTCGTTTCGAGTTGAAAGGAGGAATTACAAGATTAATAAAGGAAAGATTGTGTTTTTTGTAATTTTGGTGTGTCCATGACCGTACGTAGTCATTCGATGAAGTAGACATGGTGTTAATTTTTGCTTATAAGATATTTCAATTGCTAGATTAACCTAGAAGTCCACTTTGTATCCTCGAACATGAGGTGCAGGGCTCCCAGCAGAACAGAGCCAAATAACACGTAATTTCACGACCAAAGTTTCACGACCATCGCGGGTTTTTTCACGACCAATCCAGCCTTATGGATTATAGTGTGTTTGGTCGTGACAATAACTTTAATATAATTGTAAATTGAACAGTTTAGTTCAATTGAAACACATATTTTTATTATAACTAACAGGATAATTAAAGGATTGTTTAGAAAGATTTAGATTATTCCAGAAAATTCACGACCGTACCGCTTGTCCCTGACCATCACGTTTATGATTTCTATCATAAAAATTTCAAAAATTAAAATATCGTCATATTTCAATGTTTTATACACAAAAGAAGTACACCTCTATACAAACATAACAATTTTTCGGGTCTCAGGTAAGTTTTTTCGGAGTTATACAAACTTAAAAAGATTTTATTGGCTTTTTTCAATTTTTTGAGTTTTTTTATTTTTTTCTAGAAAGACAAAAAATACCAAAAGCTCAGTGAACTTTTTATTGTATAATGGTCATAAAAGTAAATTAGTTTATAGCAAAACATAGTTATAAAAATAATATTAACTATTTTTAATATTCATTTAAACGTCCGTTATGGTCGTGACAGGATTTTGTGTTTTTCCACTAAAGATGCTCTTTTAAAAAGAAACTACCAAAGATATTGCGTTACCATGGACATTTTATGAAACTTCAAATGTTAATGAAATAAAAAAAATAATAAAAGTTTTGAAAAAAGAGGAAAAAAATTTGCAAAGTGCTTTTCCTGAAAACGTACGTTTTTAAATTTTCACTCTACTACTAGTCAGTCTATCTCAGTGGCTAGGTACACACACACACACAGATTTGTTGGTTAGGTGCAAGATTTTGGAAAATATAATATTGTGAAAGTTATTATATTTATTTTTTAAATCACGAACTGTGTTAAGTGAACTTTCGTATTTTCAGTTATGAATAATAATTGAACTATTTCTTAACTTTTAACTATTTGAAATTATGTAAGTTTGTATTATAAAAACATCAATGTGTATTTACAACTAAGAAGTAACTCATTGGAAATATAATTATATTTCTACTTTTTATATGTACTGACAACTATTATATTTTAGGAAACTTTTGTCTATTTTTTATTATAGTTGTATCCACCCAATTTTATATTAAGCCCAGTAATTTTTATAATTTCTAAAATATCGTAAGATGGAGAAATGCAGACTATTTCAAAGA